AGAACTCTCCAAATGATATCTCTTGGAACCTTATCGTAAGCTTTTTCTAAATCAATAAAAATCAAATGTAGATTCTCCTTATTATCTCTGAACTTCTCCATCAAACCTCTCAATAAATGTATAGCTTCCATAGTAGACCTGCCAGGCATAAATCCAAATTGATTATGAGAAATTTTTGTGATGCGTCTTAACCTATGTTCAATTACCCTCTCCCATAATTTTAAAGTATGACACATCAACTTAATTCCTCTATAATTTGCACACTCTTGTGCATCCCCTTTATTCTTAAAAATGGGGATCAAAATACTCTTCCTCCACTCCTCAGGCATTTTTTTAGTTTTTAAAATAGTTTTAAAGAGTTTAGTAAGCCAAGAAACTCCCAAATCTCCCAAATATTTCCACACTTCAATTGGGATATCATCAGGTCCTACAGACTTTCCACTCTTGGTTTTCTTTAAAGCCTCTTCAACTTCTTTTTTGCTAATGCGACTGTAAAAATGAAACGTTTTATTATTATTTACGATATTAAAATCACTAAGTTCGATCGTATTTTCAGAAACTTCATTAAAAAGTTTATCAAAGTAACTCACCCACCTATGTTGAATATCTTTTTCTAAGAAAAGTACTTTTTGATTTTCATCTTTAATACACTTTACTTGAGTTAAATCTTTACTTTTCTTTTCTCTTTGTTTGGCTAGTTTATACATATATTTTTCACCCTCCTTAGTATTTAATCTATTATAAAGATCATTAAAAGCAGAATTTTTAGCATCATAGATTGTTCTTTTAGATTCTCTGCGGGTCGTTTGATATTTTTCTTCAATTCTCTAAGCTTTTACATTTAAACCAATTTTTATAACATATTTTCTTATATTTTATCTTTTCTTGCACATTATTATTCCACTACCAACTATTTTTATTTGTAAATACTTTTTTTTATTCTCCAAGCACATCTTTTGCTACTTGTTTAATAGTGTTTGTTACTTTATCCCACATCACATTTGCTTCTTCATGAATATCCCAAATT